AGGATTGGCCAAGGGCTTGAGATACATCACTGAGAATGTCAAGGGTCTACTGGAGTGAATCTTGATTGAAGAAGATTTCTATTAAATCCCTCTTATCAGAGCTTCTCTGATCTTAAGATAGCTTCATCACCTGATGTCAACTCTGCGAGTCCAACAAGTGACTACACAGACTGTAGTCTGTCAAATTCTTCACAGAAATTTAGCAGAGCACATGGGGTATTTGCAATCTGCTTTGTATCTTTTCCATCTCTTTCTATTATTTGTTTATGAATCTCAGTTAAGCATATCTGCCTGATTTTTATAAAGCTCACCTTGAGCTTCCATTCAAGAGTCCATGGATACTCAGGGGGATCCCAAGATTCCTGAGATTAGCTTCCCCATGACGCTCCCTAGCTCTGCTTGTCACGTCTGAGGGGCATCCTGAGATCACCTCAACAGCTAGTGTAAAGCTGCACCTTCTCCATTTTCCACAAGAATCCCAGCCCACCTGGCACTCTGGAATGCTGGCACTGAAGGGAAGAGCCCCGTCACTCACGGACTCATGGAAGCCATCCCAGACAGAGCTGCCCTCACTGTCCTGCTCCCAAACCAGTGTCCCCAGCCTTGACCCACCCAACAGGGCAGCTCTCAGGACAGTGGGGTTCACCTATTTCCTACCACCTGCCCCTCATCCTGTACCTTCCCAGTCCCCTGAGATTTCAGGGAGTTCTCTTTTTTCCAACTTATTACACTACTTTCCCTCTTCTTATATCTGCAGAATCTTTACTCAGTTCCAAGTATTTCTGATTATATTCAAAGACCTGATATCGACTATTTCTTTTAGAAAATTTAATAATTTCTTCAAATAACATTACCAAAACAATAAGCGTATGGGTCTCTAGAAACTGAGCAATACTTTTCTCCTATTTTTAATTAGGTTTTCACATTTTCCACATATGTACTGAATTTTAAAATTCTCTCTAAAAAAGTATCAGCATTCATTTTCCTCTACTTTTGTTTTTCCTGTTGCCTTTGTGTTGGGGAAAACTTTAACTGAGCAAATTGACATTGAATCCAGCCAAGCTTGCATTGCTCTCATAAGTCAGCTGGGCTTCCAGTTCGTGCACAAAGTCTGAACTGAGTAAACACTGCCGCCATGCATGGGGTGTGACCGTAACATCTTGAACTCATTTTTCTGCCGGAACAACACACACTAGTAGTGGTAAATCCACATTCCCTACACAGACACAAAAAATAGATGTCCCTAGGGAACACCTCTCCTCTCTGGGTCTATCAGTAGCCCTCTTCCAACTGCAGCACTAAAAACAAAACCTAGGTCGGAAGGGGTCTAAGTGTGTCACTTGCTCACAAGACAGACTGAGGGGGTGTTTTTTATTTTTTTGTTTGTTTTTTGAGACAGGGTCTCGCTGTGTAGTGCCTTGAACTCGCTTATGTAGCCCAGGCTGGCCTTGAACTCACAGCGATCCTCCTACCTCAGTCTCCTGGGTGCTGGGACAGCAGGTGTACACCACCATGCCCGGCTCAGATTGAGGTTTGAATGTTATCTTAGTGTTTTCTATAGCATCAAATATGAAAACATACCCACTACTAATAACAGCATGATAGTTTCCTGCTAAATGTCAACAAAAGATCACAAAGTTCTCAACTAATTCCAAAAGCAGGGCTTTAGAGCTGTAAAGTAATTTCATCAGCAAGCCCTTGGCTGTCCAGAAACCTCAGGAGGTTCTGTCGACTTGGATAGCTGCACTAAACATCATACTAAAAACCCATCTGGGTGGTACTTCAAATTCTCATGCCTTCTTAAATTGGACACACAAAATGCCATTTAAATTGCTTGTTCCTGATATACTTGGGTCATTATGGGCATTAGTTCCTATGCTACAAAATAAAGTCCTAAAGACCCAAGAAAAAATATAAAATTTTATTGAATTGCTTACATTACTTAGTCTCTAAAGTCCATGTTTTAAATTCTTGTACCTTTTACTTTTGTTTTAGATTTTTCTTATTATTTCATACTCTTTGATTAAAGAGCTTTAATAATTCATGTATAGTTATCAATCTCTTCCAATTTGCTAAGTGCATTGAACAAAGTAATAATCAAGCCTTTTAGAACCTTAAATAATTGCAGACTGCAAAGAGAGGGTCTGAAATTTCCTCTGATGATCAAAATGCATGAACTATAGCTTTTGTATTTATGAGAACTTTTTTGGGTGACCATTTGTAAATCTGAGTTCCACCGGCTACAAAGCACACTACTTTTTAGCCTATCTTATTTTTTTCTCAAAACTTCTCAGTGCACTTGAGAAGGCTATGATCATTCTACTGATTGTATAGATGAAAGACAAAAGTGGCCAAAGGTTTCAGCCAAGTCCGGCTCCAGAAGCCAGTGTTGCCTGTTCACGTAGCCAGTATTTCCTGCCCTGCCTGCCCAGTATAGCTGCAGATCTGTAAATATGCTCTGACTCGTGAGGAAAGAGAAAGAAGACCAGCCAGCCTGTCAGGGCCTCCTTGATGAGCAAGCAGCACAGAGCACAGAAGAGAACCTGAAAGACACCAGAGAACTCACTGAGCAGGAAGTAAGAAACAAGCTCAAAGCTATCCAGTCATCACACAGCTTTCTTAACATTATCTCCCATCAAGTCAGGTCCTGGAATCCGCCAGGGCTTCAGACTAAAGGCATCGCCTTCTTGCCTGTACCTTTCACACAGTAAATCCTCTGTGGCTCACTTGGCAACGGCCCAAAGGCAGCAGACGCTTCTCCACCCTGAGGAGAGTGACCACCACTAAAATACAGTGGGCGGGGACAGTACAACAAGAGCGCAGGTTGAGCACATCTTGATCAACTCTCCCAGAACACACCTTAGTAGTTGGCCCTTAAAATAAATCCCTGGGGTGCTGAGGGCAAAAAGACAATCTTACCCTTTGGAGGGCCGGACTTTGCCATCAAATTAACAAATCTATCCAGCTGAGGCACTAAAGGGTGTGACAGGAAGGCCTATGTTAACAATTCTGTGTCCTGTAGGTGCTTGGACAGACAGAACAAGGAATAAAGAAAGAGTCAAGGGTCACACACATAGGCCCCTCCCTCTGCCTGCAGATATCCCAGTGGGTCAACTGTTTTCATACCTTACCAGAAACCCTCCCGATATTTTCATGCATAACAAGGACCTCTCAGCTTTAAGGAACAGATGTCACAGAGCTCAGCTAGCATCTGAGGTCCACTCTTCAGCCCCACAGAACAGGTCAGCCCAGAGCAGCATGGACACACACACACACACACACACACACACTCACACACACACACTCACAGTGGGGAGATAACTGTTCCCATGGCGGCTGCTCAGTGGGAAGCACAGGCAGCAGCTAACATCAGAGTGGCCACCCTGGACTCAGAACCCTGGTTTCTACATTGAGTTGGGATACTGGGGGCCCCGCAGGAGTGAGTCCAACCTTCTCCGGGAACACAGTGGGGAAGTGACCAGGACTGGCTGGTCGAAGAGGTGTGGGAGGGTCTCAAATCAACACAGACCCAAAAAGCCAGCGCCACCCTGTACTCAGTGGGACACGCAGGCTCTCTGCCCTGTGTTCTTCACACTGGGTTTATTCAAATGTTTCCTCCTAGTCTCCACCTGCTCCCTGCCCCACCACATACAGAATTACAGAAAGACACCATCAACAAGGTAGCACCTAACTTCTTTGGTGGGGGACAGCAGGGAAATGGCTGATGGCTAGGGAGCTGGCTGGGCACAGGGTCTGATGATTAGTGGGGGTTACATAATCACACCAATACAGCCGGAGAACATTTCCATGGAGATCAGTTCAGACAGCGCCAAGTGCCTCATTCTGCACCTTTCCTCACCCTCCCCACCTGCCCAACATCAGAAGGCACCCGGGTTAAAAAAGGCCAAGCTGGGGGACTAACACAGGCACCTGGCTGCTGCCCTTAGAATGCCAAGCGCTGCCAGAACCTTCGGGGAGCCAGTCAACAGAGGGCCACTATCCCAGCACCCAGCACCCACAGCACACCCAGCACCCCGTCCTACAGACCCTCTTCTTGCAACCGCCGGCAAAGTTCAAGGGCGGCCAAGCCACAGAAGTAGTCCTGACTGGCAACGTAAACCAAACCCACCAACTTAAAGGAAACCAAGGCCCAGCACAGCTCCTCTGCACCACCACTTCTGTCCACGCTGTCCAGGCTCATGAGTCCAGTCCACAGCCCGGACAACCTCATCAGGGACCACGGGCCGCCTTCAGCGTTTCCATTCCAAATGACGGGAAAATGTGGGGCATAACCGGAAGGGTGCACCTGCTTTGCTGGCAGGAGGACAAGAACACCCAACAGAATAGAAGTGTGTATTTGGTCTGGGATGAGGAGGCGTGAGGGGAGGGAAAGTGTGATTTCTCTTTAGGGACATTTTCAGGGGGCCAGAATTAAGGAGGGAGGGGGAAATCTCCCTTCTGTCTTGGATCCAGCATCCTACAAATCTCATTCTCAACCAGACAACAGAGATCACTCCAGTCGGCCTCAACCATCCCAGCCGCAGCAGCGAGGGCAGCAGCAGAAGGAAGCGATGCCTTTCCGGGTAGCCCGGGCTCAGAGAGCGGCTCTCCAGCGCGCCGCTGCGGAGCGAGCGCAGGAGCGCGCAGCGCACAGGGCCGCCGCCGCCGCCGCCGCGGTGAT